CCAACCGTCTTCCTAGCTCCTAAAAAGGAGACCAGACACTGCATTAAAAAAAAATCCAAACCACAACAGTAAAGCGCGCCGAGGCCGAGGTCCTGCCGCTTCCCAGCGAGCCCCTTTGGCACGGCCACGGCACGGCCACAGCCACGGTCCCCGCTCCCGGAGGGGCCCCGTGCGATGTGGGGAGGAGGAAGCCGGGGCAGAGGGGTCCCCTCCTTCGGCAGCGGTGGGAACGGGCTGTATTTTTAGAACATGATCTTATACAAACATCACTCCTTGGCCAAACATGGTCTGTACGTTTTTCTTGCCGTTTCCCCTCTTTCCTTTGCCTTGCCCTCCCTTTTTTCAAGCCCATTTCTCCCCATCTCTGAGCTCCCTAACACCCTCTCCCCCCAGCCCTTCCTCCTCCTCCTTCTCCTCCCCCCCCCGCCAAGTCCCTGTCAGCTCCTTCCCAGTTTTGAATTCCCCAGCAATTACTCCCTGCCTTGACTTAAGGGCCTTTACTGGCAAAATGCTCTTTCCCAGCTGTCGTCTTAAAGGGACACGTGTGTATGCCGGGTTATCCCGGCGTTTGCAGCTCCCCGTGCATGCACCGTCCCGTCTCCCAAAGGCTGCTAATGGGATCCGTGTCTGACCCCTGCCAGGTGATGCGTCGCGAGATCTCCCCTTCCTCATGCCTCAGTTTCCCCTGAGAGCGTGTGGAGAGGCGGCGGGGAGCAGGGGACTGATCCTGCTTTCGGCTGGGGTGGGCTGAAACCAGCTCAGCCCCTGGAGAAATGAATAGCGATGGAGTAAGACGAGGGAGGAGGCAGTGAGCACCACTCATGCCGGGCAGGAGTCAAATAACCCAACTCGAAGGCCAGGAGAGGTTATTGCATTAATTAAACGCTGAGAATTTTGCCTTGAGCCTCTTAACTGGCAGGCAGTTGGGTCCCCAGGAGCTGCCAGCCAAGACATTGCGCACCAGGAATGAGCAAGGATGAGCATCTCTGGGCTCCAGCATCACCCCAGGCTCCAGCATCCTCCTCAGCTCTACCATCATTTCAAGCTCCAGCATCATCCCAGGTTCTAATCTCACCCTAGGCTCCAGCACCTTTGCAGGCTCCATAATCATCCAGGGCTCTAGCACCTTCGCAGGCTCCAGCATCATCCCAAGCTCCAGCATCATCCCAGGCTCCAGAATCATCTAGGGCTCCAGCACCTTCGCAGGCTCCAGCATCATCCCAAACTCCAGCATCATGCCAGGTTCCAGTATCATCCTGGGCTCCAGCACCTTCCCAGGCTCCAGAATCATCCAGGGCTCCAGCACCTTTGCAGGCTCCAGCATCATTCCAGGCTCCAGAATCAGCCAGGGCTCCAGCACCTTCCCAGGCTCCAGCATCATCCCAAGCTCCACTATCATCCTGGGCTCCAGCACCTTCCCAGGCTCCAGAATCATCTTCCTCCTGCACTCAAAACCCACCATCTCCTTTCTCCAGCAACCACGAAAAGGATGTACCAGTCCTCGACATAAGCTGCAGGAACCACCTTCCCTTGGCCCTGGCTGGGTGTGGAGGTGGTGGCCTCTCTCCAGGACACCCCAGCAAAGCCAGTCCCACCAGAGGCTGGGCTGGGAGAGGCGACGAGCAGCTGGGATAAATCTGCCCTGGCCAGGACCCAACCCAGAAGACTGGGCCGAGCTTGAGACTATTTTTCTTTTCCAACCCACTGATCAGAAGAACCGCAGCGATGTTTGCAGTGGAGCTGAGGCCAAGGGGGTTGAGTTGCTCTTCGAGGGGAAAGACGATCTTCTGTTCCTCCCCACGGCTCCCGACCATCCTCCTTGCCCAGGCTCCCTCTACCACCCGTGCCAGAAGGTTCCCGCTGCCCTGCAGGAGAGGGGCTGGCCGGGGAGCGGGCTCGGAGAGCTCTGAGCTCCTCGGGAAACCACTAGTTAAGCCAAAATCCAAAATCCACATCCAAATCACAGCCCGGCCATCTGCTCAGCCAGCTCCCACAAGCCCTGATTTCCTAAGGCTGGATGGAACGAGAGACACGGGGCCCGGAGTCACCAGGAGATGCTCTGGACAGCATGTAGAGATGGGTTTTGCAGCTGGAGCGTCACGGTCCTCCCCAGGCGGCTGGATCCCAGCAGCAGGGAGGGTTTGAAGAGCACAGCCTGAGGACTGCGCCGCCTTCTCCTGAATGGGCACCGGGATCAGGAGCCCAGACCTCAAGGACAAGCCTCTCGCTCCAGCTCCTCACTGGAAATGCATCCCAGGGGCAGGTAGCTCCAAGGAATTCAGGAGGACCCAAGGTAATCCAGGCTCCGGAGGGAGAGAGGCAGGATTTTGGTTGTTCCAAAGCAAACTTGGCTCAGGGACCACGGCAGGGTTTGCTCTGTCCTGCCACACATTGCCAAAAGAGCTTCCTTGCAGGAAACAGATTGCAGGAGTGCGTGTCCTTGGCACCTGCAGCTTGCCCTGAACCACGGGCGGTCCTTCTCCTCCCTTCCTCCTCCTCCTGAGCAGGGCTGTGACCCCACATGGATGTGATGTTCTCAGGGGAGGGGTCCGCACCGCAGGGCTGGGGGAGGGCTGGGGTATCGCAACCCAACCGTGACCGGTGGGGATGCTCTGTGCATTGGTCAGCGAGGATGAAGAGGATGGGC